CTGTGTGATTGGCTTTCGGCCCTTTGTATTAAACTATGCATACATACATGATGCTGTTTTGTTTATAGTTAAGCAACTTAATTAATTATAAATGGTTTATAAACATTATTTTAAACATTATGCACTTTTTTCACAGATAGTCATGTTATCTTATGCTTTGAATAAACGTGCATTAGTAATATTTTGCTCGATGCGCCCTCTTGTAGCCTCAGGAGAGAAGCCAAAAGTTTTAACTGAAATTACTGAAATTATGCGTTTTAAATTCGAATATAATTCGAATAATAAATAAATTATGTTTTAACCTGATCAATCTGATCAATTTTTGTCTTGTACACTAAGTGTGGACATTCACATCCCTAGCCGAATCTCCCATTTGAACTTGCTTGATACTGTTGATATTTACAAGACCAAGTCAGAGTATCCAACTTCCTTTATAAACCATACTGTACCATAGACAGAAGCTTTTATTTTGCTTTAAAAATGTCAAGGCTACAGTGCATATCTTGATTTCATTAGCCGCGTTTCCACTGTCGGGCCAAAAGCGGGCGTGCTAGTGCGTGCCAGGGCCAGTCGCGTTTCCACTGTCACTTCCGGGGCTTGATCGTGTCTCGTCGGTGCTTCCTCGGGGCCAACAGCCCGGGTTTTTTGGCCCGACGAAAACCTTGGGCTAAAGCGGGCCAGCTGGGGCTAGAGGAGTGGTTATGAACAAAGGCAGAGTATCTCCGCGTCTGGAGAGCGTCAGCGCCGCGGATCATTTCATAAAGTTAACAGCTATAACACCAGCATTAAAGACTTTTAAAATAAGTTTAGTTCAAAACTCACTTTCAGACAGCAGCGAGTGTTTGAAATAACTTGATCCAAAGTGTATTATGATCACCATACAAGGCAGAAATATTTATAAGCGATGCAAAAGACTATGCACGCTAGCCATTAACGTTACCATAGTAAACAAATACGACCACTTGAAGAAATCAGACGTCAGCTTCTAATTCTCTATCACAATCGTGTATTTACTTAGTAACATATTAACATATTTTATCTGTCATAAGTCTCATCTCGAGAGTTTAGCTCAGCGTATGTAATAAAAATATAATAATGGTTTTTGTTTGGGAGCTTTTAGAAAAATAAGAAATGATCATTCTTTCTAAATGTGATGTATATACTGTGACTACAAATAAACAGAAACAGACTCGACTGAATAAGTAGGTAGGCTATGTTCATACCACTTTATTTCTGTGTGACTAATTTTCAATCCTGATAAATTAATTCATTATGATCAATGTATCACTTATTATTGTAAAACATTGATGCTTTTGGATTTAAATCTTTAACAAAGCATGCAAACAAACGGCCGCTTTTATCATGTTCGTTTTGTGATCGCGCTAGTTCCAGTGACTTATTTCTTATTAGTTTTCTGATAACTTCTCTTTGTTGGTGAAATGATGGGGTTGTGTGACGTGTGATGCATATACTTACATGTTTTAGTGAAGCGCAGCGGAGCTTCTGGCCCGTCGGTGGAAACGCAGCATGATTTTGGCCTCGGTGCTACAGGTCCGAGGCTATTAGCCCCGCCCGGCCCTTTTAAAGCACTGGCTCGCACTGGCCCGACAGTGGAAAAGCGGCTATTGCAAGCAAGAAGTCTGCATAAACTTTTTCTAGGAATGAGGACAGTTTTATTTATCTTACAATTTGACATGTCCTGTTTTCAAGAGCGCTGAAAACTTTTGAGCTCCTCTGCAGGTCTCAGCCAAAAAAAGTTGAAGTACAAAGCTGTTCTGTGCTGCCAGAGGGCTGGAGTAGCTAAAATTAAAGCAACTGCCCTAGTTCCTAGTTCCTGAATCCTCCAGTGTCTCAAAGAGGGCCAAGGGGAAGGTGTGCAAAACCCTCTTCGGGCCTAGCTGAAGAGTGCTAGCGTAGCCTACAGATCGCCTCGCTCCAAGACACAAGAATCGTAATGTCATCAGCGCTAACCTAGCTTAATTTTAGAGGATAATAGGCTGGGTTTTGCTTCACGACATAGGTGGCAACTATCCTCTACTACATTCATTTCAGCAGATTATTTATCCAAAGCAACTTACAATGGACAATCTGAGGTTTGGGACAAGATAACATGTTGGACTGCTCAAACAAGCTGAGCAATGTTTTGAAATGCCACAGAGCCATAGTGTTTACAGCTCTTTAGGATGTCAACCTGCAAAGGATTGACATTCAGCTATCTGTGCATATTAAGGAGAAAATATCTCAACACTGAAAAAAATTACACCCTTTTAATCTTTAGAATAACATTTCATAACATCTCTATTTTGATATCTCTATTAGTTTGTACGGGAAATTATACAATCAAAATGCAATTGCAAACAAGCATATTGATTCCCAATATGTTAACACAAAAACGACACTCAAGGTCATGTGACAAAAATATAGCATACTTTGGTCATCATATACAAATCCTACGACAATGTAAATATAACTAATGTCTTTCACGGCTAAAAACATTTACCTGTTGTTTATGAATTAAAAGAAATCTCTACCAATCGTGCTCGCTTGCATATACTTACATGTCCAACCATGCATTTCTTTCATACACTGATAAACCAAACATAATCATTCCACAGTTTTATACGATTTGCCTCCCTTGCCAGGCTATCTGAAAATTCTGGGAGCATAACAGTAACATTAAAACAGCAAAGGTATTTGCAGTGCCAGAAGCAGAAATGCTAGGATTGTGGTCATCTGCACAAAACATACACATCACATAACTAGTAAAACTAAAAAGAGAAGATGAGATGTGTTACCCAAGACAAAATCTAGAGCATGCCAAAAAGTAAAGAGCTAAGAGAACCCCAACATCTATTCAGAGTCTTAATTGTTATTGGTTTACAATCATCAGAAACCACTGGAGTCAATGACCCTAGTATAAAAGCACTTCTAATAAAATAAAAGCAGTAATTCTAAATGATGATTGTGTTGATAAATGTTTAGACTAACACACCTTTAAATCTGGATGATATAGCTAAAAATAGCTAATATTTAGTCTTTAGTCTGAAATGGCTTATAAGGTTCAAACCATCATTTTGACAAAACGGCCAAATGCATATCGCAAAAAATAAATAAATAAATAAATCAAATTAAAAACATTAATATAATTATAATCAGTCTGAAAGATAAGCAACAGAGATTTTGGGCTCGAACACAGAAAGAAACTTACAGTGTATACCTAATATCAGAAGGCTAGTGCAAAAAACACCAAAGCATCAAAGACAAAATGTGACAGAGCACATCTAAGCTATCACTCAATATTCCAGACCCATCCTCAGGCATTAAGAGTATGAGAGAAGGCCACCTCCTACCTGAACAACACCATGACTCACACACAGTCACCCTCACTCTCCTTCAGTCACTCCCAAACAGCCACACTCACAGGCTTAGATTTGCACCTTCTGCACAAGTCACCCCTACTCTCCAAGCTTTGAGAGTTTGATCCAACAGAAAATACAAAGTAAGATTTGGCCATGATAATCCTCTTTCTGGACACATGGGGTCGGGATTTGAAAATGTGATAGTGAAAGGTCACAGTTTGAAATCACATAAGGTACTGGAGCATTACTAATACGGGAAATCACTGATGGCCCAAATTGTACAGACAAAAAAATTATTGCAAAAAACATCACCATTATCGTCTACACGTAAGCAATTACTGTTCAAAAATATCTGCAGCAGCTCTAAAACAATCCCTACTGCTGGAGCAAGCTTGTAGCCGGGTTAGCGTTGCTATGGTTACAAAGAGTGCACTTACCGATGAAGGGAATGGAGTCAAGTGATTCGTCCAGATTACTGGAGCAGAAGGAGGAGTCAAGCCGCTCCCCCAGTCTCCGCATGTGCATCTCCCGGCGTGCATCATTGGGCAACCAGCAGACACCACCCCCTGCCGGCTCGGATCCATCAGTGTCATTCACCGCAAGGATGTACGAGGGATGGCGGAGAGGTTGTGGAGTCCCCTTCCCTGTTGGGGGCTTCTCTCTGAGAACTACACCCTCCACAGGACTGGACCCGTTTACTGGTAGGCCCTTGACATCCCGTGGGTGTGTCCTCTGAGCTGATGCCCCACACTGTGGCCTCTGTGGAGGCGGAGCAGAGTAAGATGCTGACCTATATCCGACTGGATTTTCATTCCCAGTTTCTGAGCTCTGCATGGTTTCAGCCCTAGTTCTTGATTGGTTCGATGACGAATGAGAAATACGATTTCCAACAGCAGTTCCACTTTGGTCTTTGGAAGGAGGCTCTTTGGCCTGGTTTAGTCCATTGCGAGGTCGCTCTGGAAAACCAGCGGTGGGTGGGATGTCTGTTCTGGAGCTGTGCATATGGGAGCCAGCAACACCCCTGACACCCACCATACCATACCCTTTTGGGGGACGATAAAGGACCACCCGAGGTGGGAGAGACTGTCTACTAGGACGACTCCTCTGGTCTACTCTACCATACAGCTGCCTATCCACAGAAGCCCATGGTGCAGGAGAAACTAGTTCACTATGTTCCACATAGTCTGACGAATGAACACGTGGCTTCCGCATGAGGCCGTCAGAGGACACACTACGAGGAGGCCAGTCCCTGGTGAGGGCTGCTCTCTCTGCCCCACTCATCCTATCCTGCGAAGTGCTGCGTGGAGGAAGCACAGAAGGGCCCTGGTAAGCCCGGTCATGAGATGTGCTTCTGCGGCGTAACTTATTGCCCCAGCCAGGTTGGGGTCCACAGTGGGGGCCAATGTGTACACTTTGGGAAGCAGCTCGCAAGCTGTCTAAACGCTCTTGAATAGTCCGACTGTGAGTGTGAAGACCTTTATTATCAATATATTCACGGTATGTCTGGTAAGTCCGCCAGTCAATGTTCTGGTGGGTAGCATGGGAGGTAATGGAGGAAGCAGGCGCATAGTGTGTAGGTGGAATGGCATAAGGATCACCATGGTAACCTGAAGGGAACATGTCAGCTTTGCGAGGGTGGAGGTATGGCGGGCGACCACCAGACACTGTACCAGGCCTGGCTCTGATCAGCATTGGATCTGGGCCTACTAGACCATAGTCGACCCTATGACTCGGAACCATACGGCCCATGTGTACATCAGGAGGTACCACCACCGTCCGAACACTTTCATTGCACACACACACTGCAGTCTGTGTCTTTGGAATGGGTGGTGGAGGGGAGGGAGGTACTGGTATCTCCACACGGTATCCTAGATCAGATGGTACAACCCCCGGGGCTGATGTCTCAGTGGTCTGGGCCATCGCCGGGGGCTTACAGTCTACTCGAAGGTAACATGTAGGGGGTGGCTCCGGTATATGGCGTGCATTTCCACTATATGCATCATGACCCTTAAGGTAGGCATCTTGGGAATAGGCCTGTGGAAGAAAGAATCAGGTAAATTGGAATAGTATTCACTGTATCAGAGAAAACTTGAAATTCATGATGATTTTCTACAAATAGTTATCCCTGTGTGGGAGGACAGCATTACATTTGCGTGTGGGAGTTTGACAGGTGGTCAGAAGTGTGAGCTGTACTCCGGTGCACCAAGTGCTGGAGAATTCTATAATATTCATAACAATATCTAAAGCTGACAGTTCAGAACAAAAACACACCAACAGTAATTAACTTGACTTCTAAACTACAGGGCTACAAAGTTCTAATTACCATTTCTGCTGTGTATGACTGTAAAAAACAGCTGCGATCTGATCTCGGCTGGAAGCAAACAGGTAATTCCCTTTAAATTTTATTATGGTGCTGGAAAGCAAAACCAGCCTCCATTTCACACACCGAGATGTGTCTCCAAAGGAAGCACTAGGCAGCTCAAAATAATCACAATAAATAGCAATTCAGAGTAACAAAAAAGTGATTTCACCCACCGTTCGGGTCACCACACATGACCGAAGCGACACTGAAGCCAGAGGTGAACGATGGCCCTGATTAGAAACGGCGCTGATTCTGACCTTCGTAATCATGTTTAAATCCACAATTTAAGGTAAACAACTATCGCAGGAATTCAGTTTGAGAATGTCAGATTTAAAACAAATACTGGGCTCCATATTGTTTGTCTTCCTCCAATTTGGTGTCTTTCAAAACATGACAGCAAGTCATGTAAAGTGGACTTTCAACCCATCATACAGAGTTACATTCCTTTTGCATAACTATACAAACCGAATCTGATATCAGTAGTAGGGAACTTCGCCCCTCCTTTCATGAAATGCCACAGCCAGCTTGTTACACAGGCCAAAGTTCATCAAAGGAAAAGAGAGAAATGAGGAAAAAGGGGCGAGGCACAGTAAATTTGACTGCTGGATATAGCGGAGAACTACCCACACAGCTAAATCAAACAGGTCACATAATATCTACATTACTGCGATCGAGACGTTCAACACGCTACACGGTACTACGCTACACATAACCAGAAGCATCATGACAGTCATCTGAAAATGACAAGGGACAGGAAATCAACAACCAACTGAAATACAATGACATGCATGACATTTCTAAATAAAAAAAAAGCATACAATAGACATGTACTGTTCATGCACTGTTCATCTGCTTACCAGACTAGTGATTTCCTGTGAAAACTGCAGCCATTACATCACAAACCCACGGAGGAAAAAACAGAGAGAAAGGGAGGGAAAGTAAAAAAGAAGCGTATATTAAAGGTGGTCAAAACCAAAAGAATCAAGTCCACGGACTGACAACCACTATCACAGTAAATATTCTCTGTACAGAGCGCAAAAAATGCACAGAAGCTGCAGTGCTGCCAGTAAGGAGGGACTGTGGGAAGGTGGTGGGGAGCTGTGGGAAGACTGTCATGTTAGCGATGCCACCTGCTTGTCCTTGTTGCTCCAAGTCAAGGAGGGGGCTGAGGTGCCTGCTGCCTGCCTCGCGTAGTAGCGATCGGCTCTCCATCTCGCCCCTCTCCATCCATCCGCAGGCAGATTACTCTGTGATCACACGCACACAAGCTCCCACCCTCCCTCCCAGCTAACACAGCCACCCATTTGCTCCCTCCCTCAAGCTCACTGGAGAGCTGTAACCATTCACATGTCGGAGGCAGATGCTTGATTATACATTCAGCTCAGATGGTACAGCATCCCCCCTCCCTTCCCCACTTTCTCTCTCGCCGACTCGCGCCTCTGCCAGATAGACAGTCCACAACATAGAGCAGTCAGCTGACTCCAGCTGATCTAATCTCGTCTTTCCTGCCTTTTCTTGTCTCTCTTTCTCTCACTGAAATCCTTAAACCACTGCAGCATCCCTTCATGCCTCTTCAGATCAACTCTGCTACTGTGACTAATGTCACCAGAGACCTCGGATGGATTATTCCTCCAACCAGCTGAAAACCCTGTTTAGACAGGCCACAGCGCTGCCTTGCTACATCGCTACACGCAAGAGTAAAACACCATCACGGCAACAGCTGTGCAGCAGAAAATCGCCGCATGGAAATATAATATGGGTGGTGATGAGGAGAGGAAAATGTCAAATACATGTTCGGGTCACATTTCACTGCAAAATCACAAATTACAGTTATAAGAATATAGTAAAAATCACTGAGAATGGGAATTACAAAAAAAATGGTCGAATTATGGTAATAAAAATTTGACAATCAGTTTTATCTTTCAAAAATTCTTAATTGGCTTACTAAATAGGCTCAAGTTACTATGAAAATTAAGGGACAATATAACTGGGCTTTCAAAAAAAATCTTAATTGGCTTACTAAATAGACTTAAGTTACTATGCAAAAAATAATAAACAGTGCTATTAAATCTATGCAGCAGAGTCCTTTAAAAAAACACACATCAAACTGTTCGAAGTGTTTTTCCAATCCCTTTAGAATCAGTGAAAATGTCTACAACGGATGCAGTGCAGTAAATGGATGGGGGTGGTTCCTTACGCCTGCCACACAGAAATCAACAAAATTATTGTCAAATTGGATAGATAGTTAAACTAATGCGCTCCTCGTCTAGGTGGATGAAGAAAACAATGCAGTATTTTAAAGGTCATTTCTGATTACTAAAATCACATATTTTACTAGTAATCTGTCACTGACGTGTGAATGGTATCTTAAAGTGCCCCTATTATGCCATTTTTAAGGTTGCTAATACTGTTTTATGAGTCTCCTAAAACAGGTTTACTTGCATGCAAGGTCAAAAAACGTTAGTTTTCTCAAAAAATAGATTTAAGTTTACCTAATTTCTAAATGATTCGTAAACGACTCGTGCGAAGCAGTTTAAAGAATCAGTCTCTCTAAACCCCTCCTTTCCGTGAGCCCTCACTGCTGTGATTGGTCAGATGGCGCAGTCCTTTGTGATTGGTCTAGAGCCGTAGAGAGATTGGCTCTGGATTGGTCTACCGCGTACAGCCAGGGCTCTACAGTGCGACCATTTCAGTCGCATTTGCGACTACTAACAGTTACTTGTACTGAAGCGCGCGTGAAGCTTGCGGTGGACTGCCGTCTCACTAAATGAGGACATAAAATCTCCAGAACTGCTCTGAGAGTCACTTCATGAGCGTTTGACCGTTTCATTTGAGTAAAACTATCCTCATATCATATACACACACAGAAATGTAAAGGTATTCACGGCAACCCGTCAAAATAAAAGTATGATTTAACTTGAAGACATTGCAGCAGAAATATATTAGCCTACTCTTGTTCAGTAGAATGTACGTAATAGGCT